AGGGGCTCAAATGGGAAGAGAATGCTTTGAAAATGAAGATGGCAGCATATGTACAAATGTGCTCGACACACTGGATGAATGTATGGATTGTGATGAGATGTAAAACCCCCCAATTAAAAAAAAAGCAACAGAAAACCAGCAGATAAAGAGGACAAGTAATCATGATGATGCTTTCTCTTCACTACTCAGAGTTTAAAACTCTTAAAAACTAGCAACACAAGAATCCCAAGATATTTTCTACCAGCCTGCTAGGTTAGGTATTGTATTATAGAAATTAGGTATTTTAGTTAAGCCAGGGCATGAACTCATTCCACTAGAATTGTCCTTAACTTTCCAGCAAGGAATAGACTTAAAACCATTCTTTTAAAGTACATTCGAGAAGGTAGGAGTATTTTTAAGAATCATTTTATTTGCTCTTTGTTAGGCATTTTTACTTGGCAGAATTTAACATCAGCAGCAAATCCTAGAAAGACAGCATTTCCTTTGCCTTCGTTCTGCCAACTAGTCAATGATCCTTTAAAAATAGGGGTCATCACAGTACATAGATATTCTTTGTTCTCCAAAGTAGTGATTAGTAGTGACTCTGTTTTCTATTCATAGAGATTTGGGCAAGCCTACCTCCTATCAGGGCGTGCTGATGGTGTTGAGTTGGGTTAAATGCCAGGGCGGCAGTTTGAAACTACCAGCAGCTCCACAGGAGAAATATGAGGCTTTCTACTCTCATAAAAACTTCCACTCTTTATGTTAATGGTGGTAGAATAATTTGGAAAAAGATATCAATGATGGCTGTACAACATGAAGAGTATAATTAGTGGCTATGAATTACACATGTAAAAGGTGTTGAATTAGAGAATGTTTTGCCATGTATATTTTGGCCAGAGTTAAAAACTAATAATTACATGAATAACAATGAGTCCAAGGAAGAAGAAAATGTTCTAGAATTGATTGTGGTGATCATTGCACAACTCTGCTTGATAGGACTGAATTATTGAATTGCATGACCTGTGAAAAAAATGCAAATAAAACTTAAAAAACAAAACAAAAACCTTACATTCTTGGGAACACTCGGGGGCAGTTTTATTCTGTCCTTTGGGGACACTATGACTCTGAATTAACTTGATGACAGTGAATTTCTGTTTGGAGTGGACATCATGTTAGCAGGGGATCTCACAGGGCCTTGACTGTGGACCAATGCTACATCACTAAAGGTGAGGCAAGCTTGGCAAGCATTTGCACGCTGGAGCTTTCTGCAACAGCCAAGTTAGAGACAACAATGTCCTTTAAAAGATGCCTTCAAAATGAACAAGTAAACAAAATGAGCTCTAGTGGAGGAGAAAGGAGCCCTGGTAATACAATGATTATGTGCTCAGCTGCTAACCAAAAGGCTGGAGGATGGAACTCACCCAGGGGCTCTGTGGGAGAAAAAGCTGGCAATCTGTTTCCATCAAGCTTTCAGCCACAGGATACCTACAAGCACATTAGGGCTCCTAACGCAAATAGAGAAGAACTCAGTTTCCACAGCCAATATTTCCTAATTAGCTGCCAGAAATGTGAGTGGGGACATCATGAGCCTTGTATACCCCCAGCCAAGCTGCCGGATAACTTCAGCTATCTACCTGATCTCAAGAAAAATTAGCACAACAACCTCGCTGAACTCACCACTATGAGCAAATAAATGGCTCCCAATGTCAACTGCTGAGGGTTGAGGTGGTTTGTTAAGCAGCGAATGAAAATAAAAATTAAGAATCAGCTATAGATAAATTATTGTGCAATAAAGCCTGGGTTATTTTCAACACTTGTTTATATTTCATAAAATTCAAAGAACAACTAATTTTTCTTTGAAGAATTTATTTAAATAGTGTTTCCCTCTGAGAACAAAAGTGACTGAATGGCCAAAGGTCCTGAGATGGTTTCTGACTGCGAAATCATGTTAGGAGACTGATTCAAACTGAAACTCAACGAGCGAAAAATCAAAGGTTCCACCAAGGTTGTTGGTTGCTATGGATTAGCCCCTGGTTCATGACCATCTCATGCACTGTGGAAGGAAATTGTGCCTGGTCCTGAGTGTAAGGGAGAGGATCATCATGATTCTTGGTTGATTTTTGGGAAATAGATCACCAGGCCTTTCTTCCAGCTCCAGCTTAGTTGGAAAGCACTGCTGAAACCTGCAAATCATAGCAACATAAAAGCCTCATGTTCAGATGGAAGGTGGCTGCAAGTGGCTATTCATGAGGTGTTTTATCAGGAAATTGAGTCTGGATCTCCTGTATACAAGGTAAGAATTCTACCAATGAATCACCAATGTTTTGTTTTCACCAAGAGTTGCCTATATGTTGCAGTGCACATCTCTGACAGCATTTCGACTCTCTCCTTAATAATTCTCCTCCAAAGGGCATTTATAGAGGTCTAAATAAAGGCATGTACATATACACATATATTTATATATGAGGATGGGGAAATAGATCTATATGCATATATTTATAGGTTTAGTATTAAGGTAGCAGGACATTGGGCCTCCACTCAAGTACTCCCTTAATGCAAGAATACTTTCTTCTATTAAATTGGCATCCTATGATGCTCACCTTCCCAACACAACCACTGAAGACCAAGCGGGTGAATAAGCAAATGTGGTGAAGAAAGCTGATGGTGTCTGCCTACCAACAGAAGGCTTGAAGGTAAACAAGTGGCCATCTAGCTCAGAAGCAACAAAGCCCACATGGAAGAACACACCAGCCTGTGTGCCAAAGGGATGTTATCAGGCATCAAAGAACCAAAAAATCTTATCATAGTGAATGAGAAGGGGAGTGCGGAGTTGAGACCCAAAGCCCATTTGTAGGCCACTGGACATCCCCTTACAGAAGGGTATCAGGGAGGAGACGAGCCAGTTAGGGTGCGATGTAGCAATAATGAAACATACAACTTTCCTCTAGTTCCTAAATGCTTCCTCCTCCCCCACTATCATGATCCCAATTCTAC